GGACGACGCCGAGGAGGCCGCCGAGGAGGCCGCCGAGGACGACGCCGAGGAGGCCGCCGACAGGCCCTCCAGTGGTGATGCTGCGGACGGCTCGCCACTCACTCTGGCCGCCCTGGCCGCCCTGGAATACGCAAGCGCGTCCGCTTTGCAGCACGAGGCCCCCCGGGACCACGCGGGCCCCGCGGGCGCGCCGGGGCCCCACACGCCGCGGACTTTGGCGGCGTCCAGCTCGTGCCCGGCCCTCTCGGACCGGCACCACGACGTCTCCGGCGCGCCCGAGACCGGGAAACAGCCGCTCGGCCCGGCGTTCCAGCAGCCACGGCTGGCGGGCCCGGCCAGGCCCCTGGCGGCCAAGCAGGCCCCGGTGCGCTCGTTGCTCGACAGCCCGTTCGTCACCTCCTCCAAGCCCGGCACGCGGCCGCCGCCCGCCAAGCCCGCCTCTGTCTTCGCGTCGCCCCGCCCGCCCGCGGCCGCACACAGCCCGCCGCGCAAGTTTCTGTCTGCGGCCAGCATCGCCCTGGCCGCCTCGCTCCAGGGGCAGAGGAAAGACGCCCCGGGCCCGGCCCCTGGGCCCAAGCCCGTGAACCCCAAGCGGTTCAGCTTCCGTGGTCTCTTCAAGATCAAGTCCAAGAACCACTCCCTCTCGAAGCTCAAGGATGTCGACGAGGAGCTGCTCCACGGCAGCAGGCCCGTCAAACTATCCTCCAAGTCGGTCTCCACCCCCGACATGTCGGCCCTCGTGAAAGAGCAGAAGGCGTCCAAACAGAAGAAGCTGGGCTCGAGGCTGGACAGGAGGAAACGCTTTTTCGGCACCAAGAGCAGCAGCGGCACTCTGGGCCAGGACAGCGGCACTTTGAGTAAGGACAGCGGCACTTTGAGTAAGGACAGTGGCGCTTTGAGTAAGGACAGCCCCCGCATCTCCGGGAAAAAGCCCCTCCCGCCAAAGCCCGTTGGACACGCAGGGCCCCTGGAGGCCACGTCGGTCAAAGCTCCAGAGACCGACCGTGTGGCCTCTCCACTTCTTCCACCGGGGCATGAGACACCCGCTGCGGCCTCAAGCATCTTCTCCGTCGAGACGCCGCTGACCGCATACCTTGAACCGAAGAGGGGGACGATTCGCGAGGTGGACGATTCGGACTACCTGCCAAACCTTACCGAGGGCCTGCCTGCGCCGAGTGAGGGTTCCATGAATCACGCTGTTGCCCAAAAGCTATTGGCAGATGATGAGCTGTCCCAAGGCGCACATGAAGAAGTCTCACCTTTCATTTCTCACACCAGTATCCTCAATGCGCCACCAGAAACTTCGTCCCCATCTCAGTTCGGGTCGCCTTTCCAAGTCGCGTTCGACTCCGATGGTGACGACCCCCCTGCTCGCCTGTCTGCAGCTGCCCGTGACCAGCCAGCTCTATCCCCAGGAAGGTCGATGACTAGCAAAAGGTCAAACGAGCAACTCGCAGGGGAAGCTCTTTTCCCAAAGTATCTCGACGCTCACGAGGTGGAGAGCATCGTCTCACTAGAAAGATCCAGGTCCATGAGATCAGCAAAATCCAATAAGAGAAGCTCCTTTCTCAACTACAACGGCTCGGACGAAAACATCATTCTCGGAAAGCATTTGGGCAACTTGTCACAAGGCTCAATGAAAAGATCTGGGAGTATCTTGAAAAACTCACCATCAATGCAGAGCCTGATGCCCGATGTCTTCCACCTGATAGAAACGGCTTTCGAGGATTACACACCTGAAGATGCGACCGAAGCTGTGGAAATCCACCTGCGTGCATCTCCAGCCAACGACGAGGATTATTCAGACTTGATTGAGTTCTCGGACTTCATCGATTTTGACAACCTTGGTTTCTCGGACTCACCACTTCCCGTCCCATTGGAGGCCTACCTGAGTGGTCTTTCGCCGTCGTTGGGAGTATACATGGAGTATGGAAATGGTGCAAAAAGTGCTCCTCTGATCACAACAGAATCAGAGCCAAATGATCCTGTGGCGCCCGATTCTGCAAATGAACAAGGCGACACGAATGATCATGTAGGCTCTACCAACGCAACTGAAAATACGCCTGCTGTCCATATCACGTCTGCTGATGAAACCACCTCCGCCGTCGACACTACTACGGCTATTGACACCACTACTTCCTTCAACAACTCCGAAATACCTAAGGCGGGCGCTGATTCGCCTCCCGCTTTGATTGAAAAAGAAAAATCCCCTGAGATAATATGTGTCTCGTCGCATACGGATCTGGACTTCGACACTTCAAGAGTACCTTCAGAGAAACACGAAATTGACACTGTCAATAATTCGCCCGATCCAACCCCTAATGAAACTCCTTTGAATGGGACATTCAAGTTTGCTATGGAAGATAGTAGGAGGGCGGATAGCCCCAATCAAGCGCCTAGACCTGTTTCTATGTCTTTCCGAGGCTTCAGTGGGTCTGCATTCAAAGACCGAATCTTACCTCAATCTGGTTCACATCAACTGATTCAGTTTGATGAAGACTCTGCTGACGAACATTCAGCAGTGGGTCAAGGATTTGGCTCCTCTGATGAAGAATCTGAGGATGGCATGGACTCTTTTGAGGCACAGGAAGACGAAAAAATGTTCCACTCTGTGTCTGATACGAGAAGATCAGACCATGAGCCTAAGAAAATGAACAGTTTTGATAGGCGACAAAGGCATATAAGAAATGTTTTGGACTTACAGCCACCTCCATCTACTTTGCCGTTCCATCATAATCGAATTCCGTCCATTTCAGATCAAAGCTCAATATCGAGCCCCAAACTGTTGACATCTTTTATTTCAAGGATTCGAAACTCTCCATTGTCTCTGCCGAAGTTGAACCCGTCCAGGCCAACGGTTAAGTTTTCTTCGCGGATTATTTTGTACGATACTTATCATCATGATGAGTACGATCGTCACCCAGAGATTGCTACATGTAATCAGCTTACGCCTCTTTTGGCTCAGCAAATCAAGGAGGAGCTTAATGAGCTCAAGTCTAATATGGAAGTGCACGAGGAAAGTATTTGCTATACACAGTTTTTCTGAATTACTCAGATGGCTTTCGAAGACTCTGGGCCGGGAAAGGTTCGAATGTTTTGACAAACACTGTTCTGCTTGAAAGCTTGTTTACCCAATCCCTATTTACGAGGGACATCTCCTTTGTGCTCGACCAACTGATCTGAAAATTTTTCATGAGCACTCTTGAAGATAGTGTTCAAGTTTTCGGTGTCATCAGGATGCACTTTGGCAACGACGTGCTTTGGGTCCTCCATAACAACAATGACAAAACCTTCCTTTGTTCTGTCAACGCACGTGGTTCCTGCCCATGGAGCAGTATCATATTCCTTTAGGGTGATAGTTGGGGGCTCATTGTTGACGTAGCTTGGGTAAGACATGGCTGAATCAGATGGGAAGAGGTGCAAGTTTACAGTGCAGTCAAACCGAGATGAGAAAAAAGACGAAGCAATCTCTTACAATAGCGTCATTGAGCACGAGAATCCTCAACAAAACCGCATTTATAAAATACATGAAAGCGTGAGCATATGGGAGAAATGAGCCTGAAAATCCATATCTTCTCCTCGGCTTTATAGCACAAGTCTTGGCCGACGTGAAGATCATCTCGGCCATTCGAAGCTCGCAGCTTGAGAGGCGCCGAAGTATTTTTTGGCAAGTGCGGTGCTCATGCACACCCGACTCGATGCCTTTACACCTTATCTTCCTTAAGCATGACGACCGTCGTTCCAGGACAATATCTCGTTCCTGAATACAAAACTGAAGCCGGGGAATCTGGGGATGTTGTCTTACGCTATTTTCCAGGTAAGGGCGCTGTGCTATCATCGATAGACAGTGGGTCCAGGAGCATCCCAGTGATCGTCGCAACTGTGTTGGGCGAGCAGGTAATCCAAGAAATTAAAAAGAACGAACTAGAAACCCCAGATCATGAAACGAATGATGACAAGGAGGAGGAAAGTATCAGCAAAAAGGAAGATAGCAACATCAGGACTTTCTTGGTTTCGGTCGTGCTGGGCAAGAAAAGCGAATACACGCAATATGCGAAGGAAATCGATGCCTCCGCCTCAGACTCAGTCAGTGCTACTGCCACAAACTTGCCACGTGAAGGTGACGAAGTCTTGGTGAGAATCACACGTCTTAATTTGAAACAGGCTTTCTGTGAGGTCTTGTGTGTTTACGGATATGGAAACGTATCTCCAGATGGGGGGCTAGGCTCAAATGGAACTTCCGCACACTTCTCAGTTCCCATGGGAGGTGGATCTCAGATTCTCTCATCCTATGGAGCCGTGGCATCTTCCCAGAGCTTCATGTCTGGCGCACAGCCATTGGATATTGGTGAAGCATTCAAGGCCGTGATAAGAAGCCAAGACGTCAGATCCACGGATAGGGATAAAGTGAAAATAATCGACTGCTTCAGGCCTGGCGACTTGGTCAAGGCTGTAGTTCTTTCGCTCGGTGATGGATCCAACTACTACCTCACGACCGCCCGGAACGACCTCGGCGTGATTTTTGCCAAGAGCGAGGGCGGTGCGGGTGACCTGATGATCGCCGTCGACTGGGAGACAATGGTGTGTGAAAAGACTGGCGTTGTTGAGAAGAGAAAGTGCGCCAAGCTATTTGAGTAGTCGGTGCAGCGAAGGAGAGGGGCTAGGGATCGCAGTATTACTGCCCACAAGGCTTGAAGCAGCGATACAAAGAAGAATTGCATAGAAATATAATATTGAAAACGTGCCACCGGGAAGCCCATACTACTCACATATACTACTCACATGTACCAATCCACGGAGTACCTCAACTCCGCTTCGTCGCCCCGCAAGTCCTCCTCGGATAAACCGATCTGGGAGCCGAAGGCCTCGAATCTCTTGACATACAGTCTCTTTCTCTCCAGGGCCATTTCCACCATCACATCCCAGTACTTGGCATGGTCATACTCGAAGTTGACCTCGCCCCCAAAATCCTTGTCGAGCTGCGCCACGGGCACATATTCAGGGAACGGCTGGTCAAAGACCAACTTCTCGCGGGTAAGCGGGTCGATGAACGGGTGGATGATCTTCAAAAACGTCCATGCAAGCAAGGGGATGTTGGTCAAGAGAGCCTTGCCCAACCGCTCCGGGTAGTGTGTCTGCAAAATGTGCAACACTTGTCTGCCGATGTTCACCGGAGGAATCTTGGTGCTGACGGTGCCTGCAGGCGACGCCTTGAAGTCGATAAGAAGAGCCAACGAGTCCTGCGCCGACGGCATGAAATCAATCACCCTCTCGAGCATGTACACCATGTGCTGGACCTGCCTGTGGCTGGTTTTGGTGTTTTGCCTCCCGGGCTTCAAGTAAAGGCAGGGCCGCGAGTCGTTGTCAAAGCCTAGAATCACCTCTTTGCCCGTCTCGTTTTCGGGCGCCACCACCAGCAGGTTGAGCTCGTTTTCGGCCTCGGACATTTTCGAGAGCCCGAACTCGCGGCGCCACGCCAACGTGGCCTCGATCCGCTTGGCTGCACTTTCGTGGTCCCATTTCGTAGCACGCAAGTACCGCAAAATGCATTCCCGCGAGAGCCACGCCTTTTCGTCCACAGTGAGCGGCGAGAACAGGTCACGGGGCCCGTTTTTAAGTGCCTCCTCGCTGGGCGCGATCCGCAAGGATTCCGCCGCCATGTGGGCAAGAACAAGGCCGTATTTCTTCTTTTCCTCGGCGGTCAATTCGGTCTTGGCCGGTGCTTTGCACCCGGCACTGGGCCGGTCAAACGGCGTATACGTGACCTGCTCGTTGACCTTGGCCGATGACTGGGGCTTGTCTTTTTTGAAAAACATGGGATGCAATGAACGCCTCAGAAACTGTGTGGTGAGAAGAAGCCTGGCGTGTTTTGCGGGTCGGTAGGTATTGCTCGCGGGTCCAGCGAGAATGCGGGCGAATCTGGCTTTCGAAACTCTGGGTGCGAAGCGCCTGAACAATTGCAGAGCTCAAACAAAAATATGCATGGAATGGCGGCCCTTTATGTAAAGACAGGGCCGAGCGGCGTGCTGCACCTGCCGTCATATGCCTGGAGATGTCTGCCTTTTGGGGGACCTGGGATGGCATATTTCGGCTCTAATTAGTCAAGGGCATCTCCGGCTGCATGCACGGGAAAACAAGCACTTCGGCCCGGAGATACGCGCACTATCACGGGCCGAGCCTACGGGCAGTTTTCACCTTCGGCCAAACCCGTATATTCCTGGCACCAGGCACCGCAAGTTTTTGATTCACCTTTGGATCCCAGGAACTGTGGATTTGACACATTGAAAAGAGGGAATCCCTTCTGATACTGACGTTTGCATTGTATTCTTCCACGGGACAATGGAGCATGTTCGGCACACTGAGTCTCAGACGAGCCGTGCGATAGTTCACGCGTCCTGCAGTACGCCTCACTAAGGCGCGTGCAGGCACATATAGTCACTTATATGGCGGACGGACCAGCGTGCCCAAGCCGTCTCTATGAACCAAGTCTAATGCGGACATTCTTATTGTCTGCACAAGATACGCTTCTCTATGGTATCGGCCACTCCCCCTTGCAAAGCCGTTTCAACGGAACTTGGATGGTGCGTGTGTAGTAGTGGAGAACTCGCCATACAGTGTCTGAAATATCTCACATAGCGTGCAAGAATGACCTCTGATCCAACAGTCAAACATGTCTGTTGATAGCGTCAATACATGGGTGGATAGCGTCGATACTGGGGTGGATAGCGTCGATACTGGGGTGGACCGACTGCTTCCCGAAATGACTGCTCTATTGATTCCTGGGATCACTCAGCTTTTGCGATCTTTTCTTTTCCTGGGAACTTTCTTGCTTCTGTACGCTTTCCTTTCCCCCAACACATGTCCACACTTGTTGAGCATTTTCCTGGGAATTGTCTTCCAGACAGCCCTTCATTCATTTTCCAATGGAATTTCTATTAGCGAGCTCGAGCTGCCTTCAGTGAAGATGTAGGCATGCCGAGACATGTCCAAAACTCACAGCTATTCTGGTTGTGATGCTTCTGAACAGACTGGCAGTCATACGCAACACGTCACCGGCCAAATCTGAAGACTTATGCCAGAAAGCTTGAGCGGAATATGTCAGCTTGTTTTCAGAATGGCATTCTGCCGTACTTCAAAAGTCCCGATGCTCAGTTAGCATCTCCACGGGCATTTCCAATACTCTCCACGTGCATCTGCTCAGTGTTTTGACAGGTCTCCAGCATCTCGTGTAGCGAGTCGAATAAATGGGCAACCATCCATCGCCTTCAATCTTAGGCTGCTCAACAGTATAATTGGTTTTTTATATACCAGTAATACGTTGAACACCTTTGCTATAGAAAGCTCAGGTTACAACTCACGAGAAAACGTTTGGCAGTCTTCGACTCTCAAAAATTTCCAAAATGATCGTTCCCGGCCTGAAGTGGTTCCTGTTTCATCTCAGAAGAAAGCTTTTGGTATCATTTCATTGAGGTGTATGTGTCACTCCCCCTTCATCAGACAAGCTGATTCATCCCAAGGCCAAGAGTCTTTTTCTGCTTTAGCTCTCAAAAATGGTCCACCGTCTGCCGCCACCGCTGAACCTAGGGGCGACTTTGGGTCTTTTGATGAATGATATCATGCAAACAACTTCCTTATGCTGTAAAAGTAGATTCCGACGCTGGTAACACTAGCATTAGAAGAACAAGAAATGTTGTGGGGCTGATCGTGTGCTGATGGACTAAACTTCCATGGATCATCTGATGATGTCAGACTAGCAAGCGGTGTACACATCAAAGATGTGATTTTCAAGTCCTTAAACAAAGCGGCTTTCTAAAGCAAGCGCCAACCATGTCGTATTATAATTGGGGCTTTAGGGACTTTTCTGGACACTCATAGTCATCTCCATCTTGTTGGCAGGGGTCCTTACAAATTGTGAAATAACTGAACTTCACTGCCAAATTGCTGACACTGAGTCACTCATCTTTACCCGCTCGCCACCCAACTTTTCTCCAATATATTGTTGTGAGTCCTTAAAGATTTGCGGCTCGCGCCCTTACGAATGATTTGAGAAAGCTTTTCTTCTGAAACAATCGAACGGCATTTATGTTCAGCATTTTACAACTTCTAAGTGTGGAATGGTGGATATTCCGGAATACAGTACTTTTGATAGGCTATTAATAAAGGGAGTCACGAATGTGGCCTCCTCTGTTATTCAGAAAAGAAAAAAGTTTTCTGGAAAACAATTTAGAACTCCGATACGGGGAGTCGAACCCCGGTCTGGACGGTGAGAGCGTCCTGTGCTAGCCGTTACACCATATCGGATGATTGATATTGAAAATTAATGTATAATATATATACTTGCTTATAACACAATATCATAACCATATTGAAATTAATCATTTCCTTTAAATTTTACTCCAGAAGTGACGGTTAATTGTATTGGGCCTGTTGAACAGAACTCACTCCAGATGCTCCAAATACTGGTGGCAAGAGCTAAAATTTACCAAGCCCATGAGCTTGAACTCAATGTTGGCCCCAGCCGACAACTCATTGGAGAACTTAACAAAATTAAATTGGTTCGTCACCACGATCTTCAAGGTCTACACCAGAAGGCGTGGCGAGTCGCAGGAAGTGGGATCCTTAAGTCCGCTACAACCAGCTGAGTTGAAGCGACTACTACAGGAGACCTATCCTAGGAGTCGATGACGTAATAATCAATACGTAAACAGATACGTGCCATGAGGACTGTCCAGGCCGTGACTAACGGAAGGGGACGGGCCGAGCTAAGACACTTGGTACGTAGCTGGGAGCTGTTTAAAGGTTTTTATATATATTCGTTATATAGTTTTGCCCCTTTAAGCAGATGAATCTAACCAAAAAAAAAAAATGAGGTCCCATGATTTCGTTCTTTTAATTGATTTTTGTTTTTGGTAAATTCATCTGATTAAAGGAACAAAACTTCACATTTATACATATACACCCTTGAAAAAGCGTTCAGATACGTATCCAGTGTCAAAAATCGACCGGTCTCTTCTAGTGATCACGTCCTGGATGGCTCGTTTGGGACGCTCTGTTTACGTGTTGGACATTATGTCATCATACCCTAGGGTAAGTCTCCTGTATTAGTCCCTTCAGCATCAAATGGCTGGAGAGGAATCAAGGAGCTAAAGTTTTGAAACACGCCACGTCTTCTGATATACCTTGAATATTGTGGTGACGAACAAATCTAGAATTGTTAAGTTCTTCAAAAATTTGTCAACTGGAGCCAGCATTTCTTTTAAACTCATGAGCTTGGCAACTTCGTCTACCAAATAAAATAGCGTGGCAAGAGGGTTCATCCAGCTATGAACTAACAGGGGGTACGAGCTGCAATTTACACTGGGTGCATAATAAAAATGAATCATAGAGTCCCACAGAAGAAACCTAAATCTTGTTTCATTCATTCAATAGTAATTATTCAACGGGTCATGAAATAAAAGAAGTACTTATCCCTAAGATAAGAGCAAGAATAATCATAATACCCACATAGTTGTCACTACTGAGACATCTCAACAAATGATTGTTTAATGATGTATAGCATAAAAAAGTACATCACTTTTTTGTAAAGAAAGCTTAGATCGGGGGATATGTTTCTAGTTCGTTGGTCTCACTATGCTCTGTTTGAAAGGCAGTGGCTGGGAAGATCTCGGGGATGAGTCAAAATTTTAATTTTACAGATTTCACCTAATTTTAAATGGACCTTTACATTTTTTATCTGCGCATCTATAGGGACAAATTGACCTGATTCAGCACGGAAGTCTGGGGCGAGCTTCTAGGCCCTTTTTACCATTAGTGCTTTTTTATACATTTTATGGTATGCTCTGCTTTTAGTTTCCAAATATTAAACATAAATGAATATTTTTCAACATTTCCCCCCCCCCCCATATGGTCGTGATGCTGAAAAAAATAAATCCTATAGCTGAAGTAAACCAAAAGTAAGTCGTGAGGTTGAGGTCAATTGGAATAGACGCAGTGCGAATGCATATTGATGACTTTGCAATGGATTTGGTACTAAAAATGGAAGGAAACATAGAAAAAACAAGAACTATTTCCAAATTTCTATTTTTTATGCTCAAGAATATTCTTCTTTGTCTGTGATTTGATGTTCGAGTGCAAGTCATATTTTCAAGGAGGAATCTACCTTTTTTAATTTATCTGAGATAGCTCACGATTTTAAAAAAGACAAAGTTCAGTGGCGCACCACGGTGTAATATCTATATACACTAGAGAAATGTTTTGTTTGAAATAATTTCTATATGGCTTATTTCTAATTTTATAGTAATTGGTGAAATGTTCCACATATATGAGAAACTTTTAGGAAGACTCACTCACCGAAACAAGGATATGGAAGCACGTCAACCAGTCTGTATGTGACATGTAATTTGATAGTACATCACGAGATATGGCGCAAAATCAAGAGTTCGATCAATGATATCTGACTTATACTGCTCTAGTCAAGGAGCTCATGAATGATGTATGAGCTAAGTTATTTTATGTTATTGTATTCAACGAGAGATAACAGTTGTGCGGCTTCTTCTGGAGCCTCGCAGCCGGTGTCTTTAAGACTTTTACGAGTGAAAGAGCTACAAGTTCAAAGAAAATTCTAAAATAATTACAAGGTCCAGAATTGAAAACTGAAAAGGCCACCTATAATTTGAATCTCAGGACTATGCTGCCCCAATTTCAAATATATGCTTAGTGCGGCCGCATGAACCTTCCCAATCGGGTGCGATCCGCCGTGGTTGGGGACGACAGGAAACGCGTCGGATAATCCGCTAGTGGTAATCCCCGCGCCAACTTCCTTATCAGGGCATCGTTCAGTGTACTCAGATTCGGCGATACGATATAAAAGCTCTGGGACACCGCTTCCTGTTTTAAGTTATTTCTCTTTTTCTTATTTTACTGAAATCAACTGAACAAAAAAAAAAAAAAACTTTAATTCAAAGCTTGCAAGAAAAGCTACATATCATACAACACATTTCATTTTATAAACATGGTGGCATTTACGGATTTCTTGGTTGGTGACCCACTCGATAACTATGAAGACTCCGCAAAGTACCAGGCAAAATACTTGCCCAAACTTGAGCAGTATAGAAAAAACTTGGCTGACGGGATCTTGCCGGAGTACGCCGTGCAATTGCCTGCCTCAGTGCAGGAATTGACAGAGGGCCAATTCAACTCGGTCAAGTATTTGAAGGACAACAGGCTCTTAACTCCTGAGGAGTTTGAAATCACCGATTCATCAGTGGTTCAGATTACCTCCACTATTGCTAGTGGTAAATTGTCTTCTGTACAAGTCTTCAAGGCTTTTGCCAAGAGGGCCACAATCGCACACCAATTCACGAACTGTGCGTTGGATCTTTTCCCAGACGAGGGCTTACAACGTGCGCAGTTCTTGGACGAGTACTACCAGAAAAACGGCAAAACCATTGGGCCCTTACATGGGTTGCCTGTGTCTCTCAAGGAGCAGATGAACTACAAAGACAAGATCACTCATGGTGGATACGTGTCCATGATTGACAACATCCCCAAGAAACACTCTGTCACCACGCAAATCTTGCAAGATTTGGGAGCCGTGTTCTTTGTCAGAACCAACCAGCCACAGACTCTCATGCATTTGGATGGAAACAACAATTTCATTGGCCACTCCAGGTGCCCTTTTAACTTGGCCTTGTCCTCGGGAGGCTCGTCGTCCGGTGAGGGTGCCATTGTCGCTTTTGGAGGCACGCCTCTAGGAATTGGCTCTGACATTGGTGGAAGTATTCGTGGGCCTGCCGCCTTTGGTGGATGTGTTGGGCTCAGACCGACGACAAACAGATTTTCAAAGGCTGGAGGCGTGTCTTCCGGAGCAGGCCAAGAATCAGTGCCTGCCGTGGAGGGTCCCATGGCCAGATCTGTAGACGACATTGATTTTCTTATGGACGTGTACATCAACCAAGGAAAACCATGGGTCGCAGACTGTACGACTCTTCCCTTGGCCTGGAGAAAAGCCGAAAAACCCAAGCCCGAAGACTTGACCATCGCAATCATGTACGATGATGGCATTGTCAAGCCCACGCCTCCAATTGCCCGAGCTTTGAAAACCGTGGCACAGAAATTGCAGGCGGCCGGTGCCAAGGTGGTGACATTTGACCCAATAGAGACCGAGTTGGCCCGCGATACTGTGTGTGAGATGTACTCATGTGATGGCAACTACATGCAACGCAAGATGTTGGCCGACTCGGGCGAGCCATTGACGAAATTGACCAAATGGGCGTTGAACTATGGGAAAGGCGCCAAGCATTACAACGTTGCCGAAAACAGGAAACTCAATGTCATAAGAGATCAGTTGAAGCAGAGGTACACCGACTATTTGAATGAAAACAAGATTGACTTCATCATCTCCCCTGCCTACAGCAACGTGGCACCAAGGCCGGAGGAAATCTACAACTGGTCTTACACCTCACTTTACAATCTCATTGATTTGCCTACTTTGGTGGTGCAGACCGGGATGTTCCAGGACACTGATCTCGATAAATGGGACGAGTCGCATGCCTCGTATAAGCACAGATCTGCCTTGGAACAGCTCGAGCTCGACAATTACGATCCCGAAAATTTCAAAGGTGCCCCTATTGGCTTGCAAGTATCTGGCCGTAGATATTTTGATGAGGACGTTGTTGCTTTTGGCAAGACCATTGAGGATGTGTTGGAGGTGAACTTGTTTGATTTGTACAAGTAGACGCGAAAGCTTATCGCGGCATGGGCCATAGAGATAAAGCCCGAGAACAGCGGCTGTTCATATCTACGTGCAAGATCACATGATTTTGGCATGACTGAAAATATTATGGACACGTCCTGCGATACGAATATTCCATCCTGTCAGAGAAGACGATGGTTGGAGAATTACAGTGACGCTGCACGTAATTAAAATAACTTCTATCCAAGACCATTTGACTTTTGTATTACAGATCGTAGGATTAAGCGAGTTCATCCTTACCTTCTGACTCATTTTAGGGTTTCCTGGCCCGGAATGCCCTATGTACAGGAAGGTTCTGTCGTCAGATTTTTACCTTCAGCCCGCAATTCAAAAAACCCCGAATATAGTACGATGTCTGATGTCATTATAGTCGGTGCTGGCGTGGTTGGCTTGTCCACTGCCTTAGCAATAGCAGAGGAATCAACCCGCGACCACTCAATCACGGTGGCATCCGAACACAGTCCAGAAGTCAACCCATACTCACCACATTACACATCCTCATGGGCCGGCGCCCATTTCCGGCCGTTCCCTTCTAAAGATCGACACGAACTCAAAGATTATCCACTTGCACGTACCACCCTTCTGAAGTTCAAAGACCTTTCACGTGACCATCCGGAGTCGTCGATCGAATTTGTGAAAGGTGTAGAGTACTTCGAAACACCGGACTCCAAATACAAATCTTTCGCAGAGGGATGGAGAGAGAGTGTTGAGAACTTCCGTGTTTTGGATCAGAGTGAGATTCCCGAGGGGTGTGTTTTGGGGGTAGAGTACGACACCTTCGTTGTCAATGCACCATTATATTTGCAGTTTCTTTATCGCACGTTGAAGTTCAAACACGGCGTAAACTTTGTGCTGGCCAAGTTGAGCAGCCTAGAAGAGATAACAAAGTTGCATGGAGTTGAAGGCCGAAAACCAGTAATCATCAATTGCACGGGCCAGGGACTTCAATGGGGTGGGGGCTATGACAAGGACTGTTTTTCTATACGCGGACAGACACTTTTGATCAACGCTCCAAATATCCCCAAAAATACCAAATTCACTGTCACGCACCAGCTGAATGATGGATTATGGACCTTTTACATCCCGCGGCCTTTGTATGGAGGGGTCATTTTGGGTGGCACGAAACAACCCCACGATACTTACCCAGAACCAAGAGATGAGGAGACGGAAGCCTTGAAGCAGCGCGGCGCCCGTCTTTTTCCAGAATTGATGAGAACAGACGCCAGTGGCAATAAGTTTTTCGATGTAGTGCGTGTGAATGTGGGCTTTCGTCCAGCCAGAAAAGGTGGAGTTAACATCTCCGAGTCCCATCATGATGGTTACAGAGTGATCAATGGCTATGGCTGTGGGGGGTCTGGGTACGAGTTTTCGTGGGGTGTAGCTATGAGAGTTGTTCATCTTCTCGATACTTCAGTATCCAAGTTTTAGGAATATTGGGTATCAATTAAGATGCTGCAAAGCTCGACCAGAGTGGCTAAGAGGAAGACGATGTATCTAACCCATAGGGCCTCGTCTCAATCGGTCATGAAGTTTTGCAAGAACCAGACTCTTAGAATCAATATCTTATCATACCACCTTTTAATTTTGTTTAGAAAAGAAGAAGAAAAAGAAAATACATTTCCCAGAATACGCTCGTATCACCAGGACATGCTTCTTCGGCCTATTGCGGGGTGCCTGCATGCCACGTGCCGCTTATCGCATTGCTTTATTGATAACGTGGGTTGATTTAGTACCCAAGTGTACGTCTGTTATTGTTCACGATGAAAACCCCAAAGCTAAACACAAGGCCTCTCAGGCTCTTAAAAAGTGCAGAAAGACTGATATATACACATTTGAACTCAGGGTCTGTACTGGCACAATTATACCCGGCAATAGAATGGGGCAATTCACCCACCGCTTGGATCAGACACAACCTATTTTTGCTCGGCTACGAGAAAGTTCGATTTTATGCCTATCAGAAATTATCACCTCTTGCCATTCAAAAAGGGGGAGGATTTATAAAATGTGTGGTAGCTGACTTGAACTCGTTTGTGAAGAGAGAGTGGGCTAGCGAAGGAGAATTGTTTCTGAAAATCTGTAGCAGTGTGCATTTTTTTGAGGATGCCAACATCCCCGATCTGAGACTGTTTTTCACGTCTGTGGGTAGCATGATGCTTTCGGGTAAGGAGAAAAATGTACGGATCATAACAGATGAGCTCTTGGAACTATACATTGAGAAACTCAGAGGGAAGATCTCGCTTGATACACCAGCCAGCAAGAGTGAGCGCCAAATCTTAAAGATCTCCACAAATTACTACCAGACTTGCAAGATTAACTACCGCACGCTATATGACCCAAAGATTGGGCCTCGGTCTATCACTATTGGAGATCGGACGTTTTCAATCAAGCTACCCCCTTTGCCTCAAATTTCTTCAAAACAATTACTAGCTCGAGCACTTCTACACAAGGAAATGTACCCTGCTCTTATGCTGCCTGGCCATACTGTTCACGACCAGTTGTCGCGGTCCCAAATTCTTATGGCACCCGCCACAGCTAAAGTGCTCCGATATGATTTGCTGTTTCTAGACGGTCTAGGTGATTTGCTTATCGCTTCAGAGTCATGCCAAATTCTCTATCAATTCCGCTTGCTCCATCCGTACTCGAGTGACACCTCCTTTGGCAAGAAAACTTTCACGTTGCTCAAAAACATCCTCGGCACCAACTCTTTATTGCTGCGACTTGCCACAGCATACAATATGCATCTTGCTTTGGAAGACCCCACAGTTTCCACGTTGCTCAGAGAATCCTATATCCCCCAGACATTTGCAAAAGCAACAGCGGATACCGATATTGGCCAATACGAAGAAGAGTTTCTTGCTGACTATTTCGAACAGTACTCGGGCGCATTGTTCCTCGATCTGCCTGAAGCTGCCAAAGAATGGTTGAGTGAATTATTCGAAAGAATTCTCGCCCTGATCTCAGACACATATCGCATAAATCATAGAAGAGACGCAAACGCTCTGTTTGACTATCGAGCATGGAGCGTGGACGTCATTGGAAGATCCATCTGAGCAAATTTCACAGGTATTTATTACCGAGTGTATGTATTGTATTTCTTTTAAGAGCACCACGTATGAAAAAGATCAGACTTTTCTAGCATCTTTCATGAGGCTCAGAAACCCTCCACTGCTCTTTTTCTTTTTTGGCTTTGACTTTTTGGTAGATTTTAAAGTCATAAAACTATTTTTAGCCTGACCATCATCATCCGAGGAGTCTGAGGAATCCGAGGAGTCTGAAGAGCTTGAGGAATCAGAGTCCAGGTCTGAAGAGGAACTGCTGTCGGAATTGGATTCTAGGTCTATCACGGGTGTAATCGAAGGCTTGCTTGGCTTTGCATTAACAGAAAGCAGTTTGTCTGATACCTCTGGAACACCACGTTGGCTAAGATCGGCAAGTCTTGGTAGCAACGGTTTCCTCGTGGCAGGTTGGCTTTTCGGAACATTCTTAGTAACCTGTTTCTTTTTGCCAGGGGTCACATTTTGAGCTGTAGCAGGGTTGAAAGAGGCAGCATTCTTAGGCGTCAGACTCGAGCTCTGTTTTGTCTGCGGGGCCGAAACAGGCTGTTGTAAGAGTACACCCGTTGCTGACTTGTATTTCTTTGGTAGCAACCGACCAAGCGGAGTCTTGGGAGCACTTGATACGGGTGTCACTGGTTTTGATTTGAGCTCCTTCTTGGGCAACTCGATAGGCTTATCAGAGTCCAGTTCGGAGCTCGATTCTGAGATCGAGTCCGAATCCGACGCAGAGCTAGAAGGTGGTGAGCTAGCATTTTCAGGTTTCGCACTTGAAGACGCACTGCCGTCCCGAGATAATGCATTAGTCTGTTGAACAACTGGGACATTGGATGTGACTTCCAGTAACGAGTCATTATTCTGAACAGGTCTTTCTTGTGCGCCACCTTTATTGTTCTTAGAGACGCCCGACTTGTGGGTCAAAGAGGGGGACGATATCGCGGATGAACCATCTGATGGCCGTGGATTGGGTTTCGATGAGACCGGCTTAGCGTTCGGACTTTTTGAATTTACTTTCGGATTTTGTGATGTTTTATGGGACTTGGTTTGGGATAGAACCACCAGGTTTGAGCTCAGATCACTACTGGCGACAAAAGCAGCATCGTGCTTTCTAGGAGTGGGGGTTTCAGACTTTTGGTCGCCACTCAAATTAGGAGCCGCTCCGCTTGCAGAGTTAATCTTCATCTTTTTGCGGGAATCAGATACCGGCGAGCTTTTTCCTCTTTTCAACGCCTTGTCAGAAGAACCGGAGATACCGGATCCAAGATTTTTGGCCTTTTGGGGCTTTGGCGTCCTGACAGCCTCATTTATCTTATTCGAAGAAGTAGATGGTCCTGCTCCTGGAGTTTTAGCTGTCACGGGGTTAGGTGAGACCTTGCTCTGAGAAGTAGGACTATCGGTCAGGGTCTGAATAGCTTTCGAAGGGATAGACTTGTGCCCAAAATTATCCTTGGGAATTCCCTCACCTATGCGCCTCGTAAGCGTATCCGGAGAATCTTTAGTTAATACTGCACCACCTTTGGATGAGGAAACTTGCATTTGATTCTCTTTATTCTTGAGTTCCCGAATCATGTCATTTCTCACGGATCCCCCAACAATATCCAGAGAAGTGGTGATGTTCGCAGGAGTCTCTTCCGTAGAATCAAGTGGCTTTTTCTGCCCAGATTGTGCGTGAACTGTGGGTCCCATCACTGTCTTGGGAACAGGCTTGCTGGCCTTTTCATTGAATGACGTGTCATCTTCCAGATCTGTACTATCTTCAGATTCGGAAGTTGAATCCAAGACAATTACATCAGACTCCTTTTCCTGTCTCTGCACTCTCTTCTTTTGAACAGCTCTAGACAGAGTTTTACCAGAGGGTTGAGATACCAGAAGCACTTTAGTCTGAGCTGATTGCTGTTTTGCGCTAATAGAATTATCCAGATCCAGGTCACTCAGAGAAAATTCTGCCGAGGAAGACAGGCTCGTACTAGCATCCTTGCGAAGCACCGGATCTTCATTGCGTATGGTGGTTGCTTGAACCATTGGCGTTTTTTTACCAGCTTCGTTTGTTTCTGTAGAGATCCCATGCTCCTTTCCCGTAGTAGTCATGACTTCCGGACGTGTGTTATTGAGCGGCCTTTCAGGTTTATTTGCCATTACCTTGACATTCGCAGCACTGTGTTTTTTGGGACTATCCAAGTGACTTGAGCTTTCGACTATTGATTCAGAACGTTCTTTCTCTTTCTTATTCGTCTCTTTATCCACTTCTTCGTCGCTTGACAGATTACTAATGATGCTGTTATTTGTGGTGTCTTTATTACGCGCATCGGAGCCCGCGTTCTGAAGAGTACCATCGCTTGAGCGCACCTGAGATTTCTGCAGGGCTGAAATGACAGGCTCATTCGTCCCTTCCTCTAGTTTTACTGCTTCTGATATTGCAAGTCTTTCAGCAACTCTTTTGTCGATTTTAGAATCAAGTTTCACCAATTTGATATAATCAGACGAAAGTTTTGCTTTGCTGGTGAATTCATTGAAAGGCGATGGCAAGTCTTTGGCTCTAGCCTCTCTCTCTTTCTCCTTTTTACTAATAGCAGCATTTATGCGATCAGTCTCAAGATTGGGAACAGAGTTTATAGTAGCACGCGAGCGTGTTCGTCTGTCAGCGACATTCTCACCAATTGCCTTTGCTGCGTTTTGTCTATCTCTGAGCTTTTCCTGAAAGGCTATGTTGGTAACACATTTTTCCTCTTCTTCGATATCCAAGCGTGACTTGACCGTGTGATTTGCAAGCGTTGCATTCACTTCTTTGGAGAAGTTCAAGCCTCCACTTGACTTAAATTTTGCGAGCACAACATTTTTTGGTAGGATAAGCCCAGATGATTGATCCTCTGTGGGCTTTTTAGAAGAGGCGACATTTGTATTTGGAGAAGTAGTTTTTGCTCCGTCACTATCATTCACTTCTCCCACCAAACTGTGTATCTTCTTATTTTGCGAAGATGGTATTACTTTCGAAGCTTTGGCCGGCGCAAGAGTTGTTGATGGGCCAGACATTTTGGTCGCTTTTGGTGACTTCGAATTAACAGCTTTTGGCGTCACAGGCTCAGAATTACTGGCAATCGCAGCATTTTCATTTTGTTGATCACTTTCACCATCTTTTTCGGACGCAACTGCTTTGGACACAGTTGAAGTCTCAACAGTCATAACCTGAGCCATATGCTGTTGATCTTTGTTTCCACCGACGTGCTGCATTTTGTTTGTCTTTGGAGTGGAATTAATGGCTGTAGTCTTAGAAGGTGTAGCGGAGACAGAACTTTGCACTGGCTTAGAAGATGGAAGTTGTGTTGTTGATTGCATTGGCTGAACCTGCGTCACAGGGTTTGTTGGCAGCTGGACATACTGTGGAACGTGAGACAAATTTTGAGCACTTAAACCTGTATCAGGTTTCTTAAGGCTTTCAACTCTGTAAGCTTCGGACAATGATGTAAAACCCTGTGCAAACTGAGGCATAGATGGGCGAGGCCATGTCTGGACCTGGCTTAGTGGTGGTAAACGGCCTCCAGCTGGAATTGGTTGCTGGGGTGTCAGAGTGGAGAATTGAGAAGTAGACGCTGGAGCTGTTTTCGATGGCGTTTTGCCATGCGGTGGTTGAGGAGGCGGGAGATTCACCGCCGAATTAGTCTCGGATCTCGGTGAGACCTGAAACTTCGCAGCAGGAGCGGATTTCACGGATTTTTCAAGCTCTTGCCGTAAACTATTCTGCGTTTGAGCACGAAATTGTTGAGACGCCAAAGCCGGAGCCATAAACTGAGATTGCATCCCTGCAGAAGGCAGAGACTGAGAAAAAGGCAAAGACAGAGGCTTAGACTTTGAATTTGTCTGAGACTGAGACTGAGACTGAGACTGAGACTGAGACTGAGACTGAGACTGAGACTGAGACTGAGACTGAGGCTGAGGCTGAGACTGAAACTGAGGCTGAGACTGAAACTGAGGCTGAGGCTGAGACTGAGACTGAAACTTTGACTGAAATTTAGACTGAGGCTTTGACTGAGTCTGAGGAAAAGATTGAGACTGAGTCTGGGTCTGAGGGGTGGAATGAGAATAAGTCTGAAAAGTGGTCTGGTGATATTTTGGAAGTGGAGCGTGAGCATTCACAGGTTTAGCCTGTGACGGCTGTGTCTGTGCGAATGTTGGAGACACATGGCTTTGCGAGACTTGAACAACCTTTTGTTTTGTTTGAGCAGGGGTTTCTACTTCCATTTGTAGCTGGGGTTGCAGCTGTGTCTCTGGCTTCCTCGAGGATACCGCAGTAGCATTTTGAATATCTCTGGATACAACGCCGGGCAGCAGGATGCCATCTTCAGGAGGCACTGGCGCATGGCCCTCTTTACTGCCTTTGTAATTTCTACTTTTGCTAGTGTTTGAGTCGACTCTAATCTTCAGAGCCTGAATATCAGATGGTGTCACGAGTTGCGAAAATGTGCCCTGAGCCTCCAAGTCGGTATCTTCATTATCACTGAATACGCTTTTGGAGATGGACCTGTCAGATGTGTGAGGAGCCACAAGCATACCCGAAGTAATTCTCTTGCCCTTGGTTGCCGACTGAGGTGACGAACGTTTTACTGGGATGATTTTCGAGGGCACAGCGGCATGTTCAGGCACCGGAGGCGGCAAGTGAACAGGAGAAGAGGCAACATGACTTTCATGAGGCTCTGGCCGCTGCACAGTAGTTTCAGCTGGCGGAAGAACCGTTGTGTTGGCCACAGAAGCCTGCGTGTTATCAGCAACAGTGTTAAGTGCCACAGAACCTGTCTGGTGAGCAGCCCAGATGGTCCGTGAGCGCTTCAGGAAGCGGCTCACATCAGAGTCCGAATCTGGAGACACACCGCGTTTTAACGAGGCACTTGAGACATCGAGAATGCCGGCGGGTAGCACGGCAGAGGTATCTCTGAGAAGGCCCAGGAAATTGTTTCGCACAAGCACGCGTAGGACGTCGCCCGAGGCAAAGACATCGGCGGCCGTAAATTCGGGATCCAAATCACAGCAGTCTTTGTCCTGGATGCCGTCCAATTCGAGAGTTTCAGCGTCAGGATAAAGCCTGTAGTACCGTTTCAAAAGCGCATCACAGACCTCGCTGAGCGAGCTGGACGGGCTCGTGAGATGTAGGAATTTGCGGACCGCAACGCTGCCATTGGTCATGTCCACATGCCCTACTGGGATAAGCTCCACTTGGAGCTTCAATTGCATTTGGGGATGAGGGAGGGGTTGATGAGAGATCTAGGGTGGAGCGGTGAGATTCCTGGTCAGTCAAAACAATGATTTTTTCGGAAAGACACCTGTACACCAACGACCGGGTGCAAGTCCGTTTTCAGGCGTGCGGTTTGGGAAATGGCGGGGTTGACCTTTTCCCGGCAAGCTTGGCCACTTGTCTTTTCTTTTCTTGTTTTTGATCGTGCTCTTTACACGTCTTGCACGTCTTTTTTTGTTGTGGGGTTTCCGTCTTTTCGCTCTTCATTTCTTTTGTCTGTTTGATCTCATTTGTCTCATTCGTCTTCTGTCTCATTTGTCTCATTTGTCTCCTGTCTCATTTGTCTCATTTCTCTCATTCATTTCTTTAATTTGTCTCATTTGTCTCCTGTCTTATTTGTCTCATTTCTTTAGTTTGCCTCATTTGTCCCCTGTCTCGTTTCTCTAATTTCTCTAATTTCTCTCATTTCTCTAATTTGTCTCATTTGTCTCCTGTCCCATTTCTCTCATTTCTTTAGTTTGTCTCATTTGTCTCCTGTCTCATTTGTCTCATTTGTCTCATTTCTCAAATTTGTCTCATTAGTCTCCTGTCATTTGTCTCATTTCTCTAATTTGCCTCATTTGTCTAGTTTGTCTCATTAGTCTCCTGCCTCATTTCTCTAGTTTGTCTCATTTGCCTCATTTCTCTCATTTCTTCAATTTGTCTCATTTGTCTCCTGTCTCATTTCTCTCATTTCTCTAGTTTGTCTCATTTCTCTCCTGTCTCCTGTCTCATTTCTCTAATTTCTCTCATTAGTCTCCTGTCTCATTCGTCCCATTTCTCTCCTTCGTCTCACGTCTCCTTTTGCCCCATCTCACTGTCCTCGTCAAGTCGTGGAAGCACCCACAGACAACTCATCCAAGACTATACTTGAAGTACGGATCGTCAAAGAGCTCCTCCCTGGCCGCGCGGGCGTCACTGGGGTCGGGCCCCAGTGCGTGTTGAAAAGCGCCGCGGGCCACAGCAACATTGCCAAACGCAGCGAGCTCTTGCGCAGGCCGGCCGCCGCGCCAAGGCACAATCTCGCCGTCCATGGTGCCGCAGTAGTAGGTGGCCGAATACGGGTGGCCGTAGGCTATTGACGCCGTGCGCGAGGAGCCCCCCGGCCCGTTCCTCTGGAGAGTCGCAGCACCAACTTGCCGTCTAAGGCCCTGAACACTAGCACGTCGCCGTTGTCCGAGGCGACGTGTAGATGCTGGACCTCGGTCTCGCGCCTCGGGCCGAGCACGAGCGGAAGGGTCTGGAGGTACTTGTTTCGCGTCAAGGGCCCGAAGTTCACAAGCTTGTTGACGGGCGGCGCGTGGCTGGAGACCATGTCCCACACCCGGATCTTGTCGTCGTTGCCTGCAGTGTAGAGCACGTGGCCTAGCTCGTCCCACGCCAAGGCGTTGACGGGCCCCAGGTGCGCCTTCACCGACGAGGAGCCCACGTTGAGCCGGTCCGCGGCCGCGCTGCGCACGCCGGTCTTGGTCATGTCGAGCCGCGCCACGCAGCTCTTGCTCCGGCGGATGTCCCACACTTTGGCCTCGCCGTCGTGCCCGCCCAGCGCGAGCATGTACGGGTTGTGCGGGTGCCAGCCCACCGCCAACGTCTTGCCGCGGTGGCCCGCGAGCGTGTGTGCGCTGGACGCCGTGCGGAGGTCCAAGAGCCGCACGGACGGCTGGTCGCTGGCCACGGCGATCATTGCCTGCGACGAGTATGCGTTGCTGCGGTGCGCGGACACACTGAGCGCGTACACGCGGCTGGCCAAGTCGAACGTGTGCACGACGGCCACCTCGTTGGTGTCCCACACCTTCACGGTGTGGTCGAAAGACGCGGAAAGGAACATGCCCGTGTCGCGCGGCCACCATTCCACTGCCGACACGCCGAACTGGTGTGCGGCGCGGCGCGGGATGGCCGCAATGGGCACAAGCCGGCCGCCGGGTTTAGCCGTGGAGTCTGCGGGGGGAAGGCCGCGGGGAAAGGCTTGTTCTGCCTCCGCCAAGGAGCCCTCCCGGAGCTCCTCCGCCCGGCCTGCCTCGGGGGACCGTTCCCCACGCAAGTCCCAGATTTTGATGCTGGAGTCGCCGCAGCCGCTGAGCATGTACCTGTGCTCTGAGCTCTCGACGGCGAGGGAGTTCACGGCCGCGTTGTGGTGGCAGTTGTCGGGGAAAACGTTGGGGCTCACGGGCCGGAGCGTGCTGTATAGAGACTCGGTGACGGTGACGGCAAAGTCGCTGGGCCGGAGCCGCCCAGTCTTCCTTTCGAGAAGAAGAGACTGCATTTATGTTTGTGGAGGCCGGGTGCCGATCAAGACATAGAGAACGCCTCGAGCTTGAGGGGAGGTGCCGAGACTGGCTGTGCCGAAGAACAAGGCCAGGGCCGGTGCAGTGCTGGTGCAGTGCCGGTGCAGTACTGATGGACCCAGCGGTGCGCAGCCATTTCCAAATTGCTGCAAGCTGGACCGACGCACGCGGTGAGCGGGCTGCGTCGAAGGATCCTGGTGGCTTCGGGTGATTTGGTCGTTTCTGGCGTGCATGGGAGGGGGTGATGGTTTCTGGTGTTTCTGAAACTTGGTGCTTTCTGTGGCCGTTCGTGAAAGTGCTTGATGGCCTTTCATCATTTCTGGCGGTGCTTGATGGCCTTTGATTACTCATGGCAGTGCTCAATGGCTTTTGATCATTTTTGCTTCATGATTCTAGGCCATTCTCTTCGTTCTTGAAGGCCATCACTTCTCAAATTGAATGGGGCGACGTGTTCATCTACGCATAGCCGTCCCAGACGAGACACGGCCCTGGAATTCGTATTACCTGAATGGAGCTGCGTTAATATACATGTGAAAAAATGCAATCGTTGTTCTCAAAGTGCCCGGGAGCTAAAATGTGGCCCAAGCACTTCCAAAACATCTGTTTCATCCGTGAGTAAAGAAACGTTATCCCGCATTCTCTCTTGGCTCGTTGAACATACCTCCTGAAAAATCGCCCTCTGAAGAGCCCGAACTTCGAATGTTCGCAGCTCACAGACATGAATATTCTGTGGGCCTCTATACCATCAAACTTATTCTGGAATACCCATGTTACTCCTTTCAAGTAAAAAAAAAATGGTTGCACAATTCGACTCTTGTCAAAGCATGGCACTTAGAGGCAAGCGTTTATAGAAGATACCCGGATTGGTTCCGAGGCCCGCTTACACATATACCCAGTATGCGATGCAGCATATACATGCAAGGCTGGGAACACGGAAGTAATTCATTGTGTTTTGCCACTGCCCGCACCAGTGGTTCCGACACAACGTCTATTTAACACCGTTGAGGTGCGTATTTCCTTGCAAGTGTATTGGAAGTCACGCTTTTCGACTTTGCAGGAAATGGACACCTCAGAAAATCCTGAGGTCCTTGTTGCTAATCAGAAATGAAAGAATCGGTTGTTTTCGGTTCCATGCTCACAGGGCAACACCGGTGTGAGACATGTGCGCCAAGGCCAGCCCACAGTCATTAATAACTCTTGACCGTTTGAGTTTAATGCACTAGCGTGACAAGTAGTCCCTGCCATAAGGAGGCCTCCAGCACTTTCTCACCAGATAAAACACAGCTATGAAGAATTTCACCAAGTCTTCCCGAAATCATACAAACCGGTCGAAGACTCTGAACAGAACGAATCATAAATCTAACGGCAACTGAGATTCGCGGCCAGAACAAGTAAAGAATCAGCATCGCAAGACACTGCACCCACCGCTACAGGTAAAAAAGGTCGCCATGTCGCAAGTTGGTCTTACGAGGCTTCACAAAGGAAGCAAAAAACCTCCATCCAATTTAGTCTATTCTAGCCACGAAAAATCACCAGTTGATACTTTGATTCAGGCCGACGTCAGACGCAAAATAACACCATCCATATAAGCCCAGGTCTTGAAGCCGCAGTGAAACCAAGAATCCCCACCCTTCTATTCGGAAAGCCCGTGAGGCCAAAGCCCACCCTCCGAACATCCCAGGTGGGACCTTGCCAACGGACTAGCCATTCTGGTGCAGGACTGGCTCTGGACAGGCTCAGCCATTGGCACTACGCTTGAGAAGCAGGCGCTTCCTGCAGGACGCAAAAAAACCTATCCGAAAAAGCCAGTATAAAAAACTTGTCCTCACGTTTCACGCACACAAGGCCAAACATGTTGGACATTAATGCTTTCCTTGCTGACAAGGGTGGAGACCCAGAGAAGATCAGGGTCTCGCAGAGAAAAAGAGGCGCTCCAGTGGAGATTGTCGATGAGATCATTCAGGGCTACAAGGACTGGACCAAGATTAGATTCGACTTGGACGCCTTGAACAAGAAGCAAAACGCGCTACAGAAGCAGATTGGCCAGAAGTTCAAGGCCAAGGAGGATGCCAGCGCGTTGTTGGCGGAAAAGGACCAGCTTGCCGAGGAGAAGAAGCAGCTCGTGGAGGTCGAGCAGAAGGCCGACGCAGACTTGCGCTTCAAGGTCAACCAGGTTGGCAACATTGTCCACGATTCCGTTGTAGAGTCCCTGGACGAGGCTAACAACGAGATTGTCAGGACCTGGAAACCCGAGAACTACGCGGAAATCTCCGAGGTGGCATCTGCCACCGGTGTGCCCGCCAAGTTGTCCCACCACGAGGTGCTCTTAAGATTGGACGGCTACGACCCAGAGAGAGGTGTTAAGATTGTGGGCCACCGTGGATACTTCTTGAGAAAATGGGGTGTTTTCTTGAACCAGGCCTTGATCAACTACGGCTTGGCCTTCTTGTACGAGAAGGGCTACCTCCCATTGCAGGCCCCCGTCATGATGAACAAGGAGATCATGGCCAAGACCGCACAATTGTCCCAGTTCGACGAGGAGTTGTACAAGGTCATCGATGGCGAAGACGAGAAGTACTTGATCGCCACTTCCGAGCAGCCCATTTCCGCCTACCACTCCAACGAGTGGTTTGAGAGTCCATCCGAGCAGTTGCCTATTAAGTACGCCGGCTACTCGTCTTGTTTCAGAAGAGAGGCCGGTTCGCACGGCAAGGACGCTTGGGGCATTTTCCGTGTGCACGCGTTTGAGAAGATCGAGCAGTTCGTGTTGACTGAGCCCGAGAAGTCTTGGGAGGAGTTCGACAGCATGATCGAGAACTCCGAGGAGTTCTACAAGTCGCTCGGCTTGCCTTACCGTGTGGTGGGCATTGTGTCTGGCGAGTTGAACAACGCCGCTGCCAAGAAGTATGACTTGGAAGCGTGGTTCCCATACCAGAAGGAGTACAAGGAGTTGGTGTCGTGCTCCAACTGCACAGACTACCAGTCAAGAAACTTGGAGATCAGATGCGGCATCAAGCAGCAGAACCAGATCGAGAAGAAGTACGTGCACTGCTTGAACTCCACCTTGTCTGCCACCGAGAGAGCCTTGTGCTGTATTTTGGAGAACTACCAGAAGGAGGACGGAATTGTTGTGCCCGAGGTCTTGAGACTGTACATCCCAGGCAAGCCCGAGTTTCTTCCATTCACCAAGGAGTTGCCTAAGAACAGCACCTCCAAGAAGAAGAACTAGATCAGCGCCGCACATGCGAGCCAGACTAGTCTCGGCGTCTCACGGCAGTTTGGTGCCACATACATGCCAATCAAACAATGAATTCATGTGGAGACATGTGACGATCTGTAGACGAAGTAGCAAGCCGTAGCCGGGGGATTCGGGGCCGATTAGTCCTTGCCACCACAATTGACGAACCACGTCTCATCATGTCCCATTTAGAAGCTATTTTCGGGATAATCTTGATCAAATACCACTTCTGTTTCTGCTGCATACGGAAAGTCAACACAACCAGACGGTTTATTGGAGTAAATATCTAACTTACATATAATGGTCGCCCGGAACATGAACGCATTGTCTACATCAGACACATCATGTTCAAGCAACCGTCGGCACAACAGCAGCACAAAATCGCCGCACAGCATCCGCAAAAAGTTTTGCAGCATCCACCACCACTCTTAGATGGCGGCTGTTGCACATACTGGGGCTGTTGTTGCTGATAGTAGCCTTGTGGCGGCGCGCCTTGTTGGTAGTATTGTCCTTGTTGTCGGTAAGGCTGGCTGTTAGTATTCACGCAAAAGTCAGCACGTGGTCCCGACAGACTCCCATGAAGTATTCATACCGAAATGGGCAACAGAATAATGATGGGCTGAGCTCGGGAGCTCTACTGCTGCATTGGCCACCTCTAATCTGTACTCGACACATACCATGTTTAATGAAGTGAAGGAAAAGAGGAGGTCTTGCCTCAGCCCCGTTTGAGCCTAAATACGAAGATACGGGAGAAGAAAGAACAGCAAATGGTGTCCTGGATTGACATGACTGTACAGGACGATCATGTCTGGATGCAAGCAACGAATGTTATGTCGCTCCACCTTCCTCGTAGTCTAGTTATTAATATTACCCAGCCTCGACCTGCACCGAACCACGCATCGCAGACCTCGCAGCCCAGACAGGCATATGACGTTGAGATGCCCGGATCGTTCTTCAGCCAGGGAAAAGAGAAGTGGATCTGCATCACAAAAATGAACCGTGGTCTTTCTTTTATGGGCGGAAAACGAGCCAAACAACAGACACGGGGGGAAACGGCCCCAAATAAAAAACACCACCTGGCCCCGGACTTCTCCGCTTTACCCACTCATCTTCCGGGCACGCCCTCTTCTTTTGCATCCACGGTTTCGTTGCCATTCACAGCTACTGTCAACCTGAAGTTGTCAGCTATCCCCGGGGGAAGCTCAATAGACTCAGAAACACCGAATCAAACTGAGACAGTATTGGCTCCCAAAATTGCGTCACCTAATCAGCCAGAGCCTTCGACTGTCACAACCAATGGCTTTCCACAACCAGAACAAAATGCTGGAGATACCCAAAAGCAAGCTGCGCCGATTCCAAAGGCAGAAAAAGAGCCTGTTTTTATTGAGGGAACCAACATCTCGCTCCAGACAGAGGAAGATATTGCGCGCTGGATAGCTGAGCGTCGGAAGAAATGGCCCACTAGGAAAAACGTCGAGGCCAAAACACAAGACCAAAAGGAGAAGGCACCAGAAAAAGAGCAGCTGCTGTCCAAACTGAATATTTGCAAATTTTACGCGAGAAACAAGCGATGCAAATTCGGAACCAAATGCAGAAACGTGCATGAATCGGGCACGGGTCAGAATCACCAAGCAACGGCATCCCAAAACACCTCTTCCACGCGCAAAATGATAAATGGTGTGCTCGTGAACATCCCACAGCGATACAAGAAAGAAGTCCAGGGGGCTGGCTCCCTCTTCACCAAGCTTGTGCAGCGGGACTTGTATGAGCACGAGAACAACGTGATTGTTGACTTCATTCAATATCTCGATTCACAGGGCGTGATCAACCACGATGTCACATCCTCATAGCTGGCCCACAAAGTGTCTTGTATTCTATGTCAAACTTTCTATGTGAACGGATGTTGGTCATCTTTCATTTTTCTCGTGCACTCCAACATGATCGAGCACTGCTTTCCAATCTCTGACAACTTCCCAATGACAACCTCATTTCCCTTTCCGAAACCGTAGATAGAATATGGAAGACCCACGTCTTCGCAGAATTCAATCACAAAAGGCTGCACACGTCTCAAGTTATGCCTCGGGAGTCTAGGAAATAAATGATGGATGGCCTGGAACTGCAAGCCTCCATGGAGAAAGTCAAGCCAGCCGGGACAGTCGACGTCCATTGTTGTCCGGAGCTGTCTCGAGGCAAAACTCTCGCTGACTCCCAAGTCCGCAGTGGACATTGCAAAATGGGAGAGAGTGATCTGAACATGGACAAGCATGGTGGCCATATGGCTTATCATCACAAACATGAATTTGTTCCAGCCTCCTTCAACACTTCCAACCATCAAATAGAAAAACCAAAAAAAAGAAGAATGAAAGCCCAGCAAGCTCAAAGTACCTGAACCATGCTGCTTTTCCATGTCTCGGACCCTGTCCAAGAAGAAGGTGCGTCCAAGATAATCTGTACAAGTTGAAACGACCAAAGGTGAGAATGGGGTAGTACAAGTATTCTTGAAAAGGAATAACTTTCTTGGCAAAAGCGTCGAGCCAAAGTACTTTGTCATAGTACGTAGAGTACACATCACCAAACAAACGAGTGCTTACAGCAAAAAATGGCAAATGCTGGATATCTGGATCATGGACAGGATCATTCGTGATGAGATGGTGAACATTGTGGTTCCTCTTCCACCAGCCCAAGCTCAAGCCCCCAAACCAATCAGCAATTATCATACCAAAAAGATTGTCAATCTGATAATTGTGGGAAATCGAAACGTGTCCGGCATCATGGGCAATGAAAGTCATTTGGTGCCAAGCTGTGCCCATGAATAGAGCACTGAGAAAGTAATACCCAAGATGCAAAAACGAGAATGAGTATAAGAACAAAGAGGCAATCTTCACCACTTCTCTCACATAGTTTGAGTAGTGGCACTTGTAAAACCCATTCTTGATGACAGTGGCATGGAGCTTCTCATACTTTTCTCTGATTTGATTTTGTGTACCGTAATCTAGATCGGGAAGTCTCAGCAACTCCTCTCGAACAAGCCCGTTGTCAAATTGGCGCATGAGTTCTTTGGGATCAACAATCGCTCCAGTACCTGTAATTGGATAAAGTTGCTCCTTATTGCTTGAGTTTACGTATTCAATGTTTTGTGGGACGACTGGCTTCACCGGGCCCAGGGGCGATCCCGCCTGATGCAATTTGGGATTGACTTCTAAATCTTCAAGTTCTACTGAAGTCTCTGAGGAAGCATCGTCAGAAGTTATTGGAGAGCCTGAATCTAACTTCTCACCAAGAGAGTCGGATGTCTTTGCGCGTTTCGTATTAGAAGGATAGACCGCACCCTGGATGGGAGGCAACAAATTTTTCCACATTGTGTCGATCTCACCTATTTTCCATTTGCTGAAAGTAGCGATAGATTCCTCGCTGTGGTAGGCGAGCATTTCATCCGTTGCATCTCTTCCAACCATGTGGTACACAGCCTTGTCACCACCGGGGTGATACTTGAGCCAAGACGTGAGATTTAAAACGCTATTTTCATATATGACAATCACTTTTCCCTCGGATATGAGACCCTCGATCTGCCTCGAGGTGAATTTTTTGACCATGTTATAGTTGGTGCGACCAAGAAGAACCAGATATTCTGACCTATATCTGCATCGCCTCATTCTGAGATCGGACATGAGACGCGATCAGGCGAGCTCTGCACGTGATCGCGAGTGTTGGCTAAAATTGGCTTCACCAAGAATCACGCCACGCCCAATCGGCATTTTGCATTTATAATCATCGTTGGATTTCAACAAATGTCAACGCATCTTCTTGCTCAATCTCCGCCACGGAACTAACTTTGTTTGCGAAGGATACACCATAAAATGTGTTCGCGACTTGTAGCATCTCGGGCCGGAACGTCGTGCAGATAAACTGAGCGTTGGATGCCAAGCTCAGGACCATGGCTGCGACAGCCGTTCGGTATTGGGTGTCCAAGTTGGCATCGATTTCATCAAAAAGGTAAAATGGAGCAGGATCACATTTTTGAATCGCAAGAATAAGCGTGATTGCGCATAGAGATTTTTGTCCACCTGAAAGCTGTTCGATTTGCTGCTGTTCATCTTCCTTTGAATTGAATGAGACAAGAATCGAAACACCAGTGTAATTCTCGATAGACTCAATATCTCGCTCGTCATCCTGATCGCTCTTGGTTCGCATCACCAACTCGCCCTTTCCACTTGGCACGAGCTTTTCAAAGAGTTCGGAGAAACTTCTGGAAACCTCTGAGAAACTCTTTTTGATAGCGTTGTCCTTCTGCTGCTCGAGTGAAAGCACTAAATTTTCAATCGATTCTTTCGAATTTTCTAAATCGTGCTTTCTGGAAATCAAGTCTTCTCTTTCTTTGGCAAATGTGTTGTACTGCTCCAACGCTTTTTTGTTGATATGAGCATATCTCTTTAGCTCATTGTGTATGACATCGAGGTTTCGGAAGATTTCATCCAGGGTGATATTCTCGAAAGTCGTTTTATCGAAAGCCTCCTCAGGTAGTCCACCTAAAGCACGAATTTTCTCCTGTAACTCTTCCCTTCTTTTATCAGATATGGCTTTCTTTACAAGAATTTTTTCTGCTCTCTTAGACGCCTTTTCAATCTTCAACAATAGAGCAGCCTGTTGTTTATTGGCTTTTTCGAGATCTTTCTTCTTTTTCTCAGAGTCTTTCACGATCTTTTCAAGATTTAGCTCAGCCACTCGTGTTTTTTTGCCCAAATCTTCGATCTGAATTTCAAGAGCCAGGATTTCATTTTTGATCACACGCGAGTTCGTTTCTCCTATCTTCAAGCTTTCAGACATGCTTGACTCCTTCAAGGTCTTGATTTGCGAGTCATACTTAGAAGATATGTTCTCAATTTCCGCGATTTCAGTTTCTAATACAACGACCTGCGTTACAATCAGATTGTATTCTTCCTCAATTTGTGGGAGTCTTGTAGTGATGTCTTCAAGCTTTCTGGAATCTTCTGCCGTCAAATCCGAGGTGAATTCGGATGCCATCTCCTCTCGAAACTGCTTGACTTTGCTGTTGAGACTGGAGATGGCCAGACGCATAGTCTCGTATATCTTCTTCAAAGTGCTTATTTCTCTTTCCAAAGATAGCTTATTGGTGAGAACCTTACCATGTTCAAGCCTTTGAGGCTCAAGCCTTGCTTTTAAATCCTCAAACTCTTGAGTTTTAGATTCGAGTGAACGTGTGGCCGTAGCAACATCTGATTCCATGTCCTTGAGCCTCATCTCGTAATCTCTCAAATCTTGATTTAATTTGGTTAACTCAGCTTTTTTCTTTGACTGAAGTTTCAAGCTATCAAGACGAGCGTGCTTGTACTGTCTAAATCCTCCACTGAGAACACCTTTAGTACTTGCACGATCTCCATCCAAGGTGATCGCATTAAGCCCATGTTTCCTTGCCAATTCAGAGCCTTTCTGGAGGTTATTGCAAATGATAGTCTTGCCAAAAACTTGTTGAATAGCCTTTCCCACGAGCTCATGATTGTGCTTAATTTTTTTAATGAGTGGGATGAATTCGTGTTCTTCCTGATCGGGAAATGTAGCAGGATTGACATGTATCCTATTGAGGGGCATGATAGTGATTCTGCCAGCCTTTACACGACTCAACTCTTTCATGAGAATCAGAGCAGTCTCATCGTTATCGACAACGATATGGAATAAAGAGTTTCCGGCCACCACTTCAATTGCAGTTTTGTATTTATCAGAAGTAGTGAAGAGTTCAACGAGGGGCCCAAACACAGAATCCTGCAAGTTGAGTCTTTCGGTGATCGCATTCACAGCCTCGAGTGCTTTTGCCTGCGAGCGGTCCATGGTTTGTGCCACTTTATGGCTGGCATTAGCATATTCATGTTCTGCCGAGTCACGAAGAGATATTAACTTGATTTCCTCTCGTAAGAGTTGTTTTTTTTCTTCCAAAAGTGTCAGAACTCTCAATTTAGCAGCATGAACACCTTCTTCTGCCACCATGATACTTTGCTCATTTTGAACATCGTCAAGAGTACTGCGCAAATCTTCGAGGCGTGTCACGCACTCTAGGTGTTGCTCCTCATTACTTTTCAAATCTTGCTTTACAGACTCGAGGCGTTGTTCTCTGGTGGATAAATCCTCTTCGAGAGTTCCGATTTCTGTTTGTAACCATGCGTCTCTTTGACTCTTAGATGCGAATTCCAGAAATCTGCTTTGCTTTGAAAATATCAATCTCTGGGTGTTTGAAAGTTCCGTAATCTCTGCGGCAACTTCTGCCTCTTTTTCTTTCAAAGCGGCTAATCTTGGGTAGTGAGACTCAGTAAGAAGCTGAGTATTTTTTTGTACTTTCTCGCTTAATTGATCCACCTTTAATGCATCATCACCTGCCATGGTTTTCTGAGATACAAGGCGATTCACGAGCGCTGCCTCTTCGGCTTTTTTCGCTGCTAGGGACGCCAACACACGATTTTCATCGGTTTTACACAGCTCTTGCTCTAGACTTGCTAGTTTCATCGACGACGCCAATTCATCGATAGAGAGCTGGATATTTTGGCAGATCTCTTCTCTTTTTTCTAAATCCACCAAATCATTTCGAGAATTCAGCACTATGGTTTCATATTCTTCCTCTCTTTCCTCGATTTGTGCGTTCAAAGATTTTAGCTCGCGGTCAAAAATATTGAATTCGTAGATTTTCTTGTTTTTCTCGAGTTGCTGATATTCTTTCAAGTTATCCAGTTCCATTTGTAGGTCTGAGATCTTCTCCTCGAGCTTTTCCATTGAGTCGTCGATCCGTTCCATCTTAAATTGAGAGTGCGCCATTTCCTTGTTAGACTCACGAAGCTTTGCCTCAAACATTTTTGCCCCACTGACTTCTTTCAAAAGCTGAAGCCGCTCCGAGTCTTTCGAGTTGGTCAAAGATGTGATTCTACCCTGTGGAACTATGTAGTACGGGTTCAGTCTAGAAAATCCAGCACTTTCTAAGAGATTCATGATATCAGACCGTGTTGCAGATCGCCCGTCCATCGAATAGTCGTCTTTCTTCAAACCAATAGTTCTACGGATGGAAACTTCATCCTTTTGGATGGGGAAACGTCGGTCGGAGTTATCAAAGACGACTTCCACATAGGCAGACATCACCGTACCGGATCCTTCATGAATAAGTCCTTGTCTTTCTTCTCTTGTCATGTGGTTATAGGCATCAGACAACACAAATCTAATAGCCGAGAAAAAATTCGACTTTCCCAGGCCATTACGCCCGATAACCACGTTGAGATTCGGAGAGAGATCATCTATGATTGTGGTGTTTTTATAGGTTTTAAAACCCTGTATGGTGATGCGTTTGATGAACATCTTGTTCCCGAAGTCACTGGTTAAGACGTGTCCGATATTTTAGCATGGGGGATGTATCGCGTCGCGTCTTGATCGTTGGCGTTGTTTACACAGGCCTTTTGCTAAAAGTGACTGCGCAATATGTAGACTAGATGAAGACAGATCATAATTCTTGAAGAAAGCAAAAAATAAAATTGCCTATATATTCTTGGATTCGTTTGTAATATGCTAGTTTATCTAAACTTAGTAGCTATTATAGGACAAATATCCATTCCCTTGCTCTGCCTAGAAATCCTGACTTTTCATACATGCCGTGAAAACAAATCGACCAGAATGAGTAACAGTTGGATCTAAGATATCCGCATGTTCTTGAGCCAATAAACAACAAATGTCAATTGGCTCTTGAGTCTTTATTCAAGAAAATAGATCATGTACCAAGTCTGACTCGATTTAATTGTGGCTTTTGCATGGAACCAGAGTTCGGCTGACTCAGAAGTACCGGGGCTTGAGTAAACATTACCTGGGAATATCAGAACGTCTCCTGAAGAAAATTATCCAGCCTGGGCTTGATTTATATAATCGTTACCTAAAAATGAAATTCAAAAGATTTCAAAAAGAAAGCCCGATGCGGGGCTCGAACCCGCAACCTTTTGATTGACCTTATGAAGATTAAGAGTCAAATGCTCTACCGATTGAGCTAACCAGGCTTCTTGATGACAGATATTATGAAACAGCCTGGAGCTGTCTCTTAAACTACGAGTAGATCGGTTTATAGATAGTTCAGCCTTAGTGGATAGGCCTAGTCTATCTGTCGTATTCTCGATGTCTAAAAAGTGTTATCCTTCTTCAGGGATGTCTCAGCCTCACGCTCCTTTATAGTTCGGAACCCTTCTATACAGTAGGTGAGGGGTAACCCCGATCAGGAATGTTTAGACTCTTCGTCCTTCGTATTATACAGGATGCCCAGAATCTATAATCTGGCTCATGTCGTATCATAACATTATCTCCCCAAAATTAGAATGTTCGTCCTCGAACATTTAGTTATCATGGATAGAGGAAAGCCTCGAAGTACCTTCGCCGCGTCTGATTATTCTGTGACGGCGTACTACCGCGTGTTCTCCGGTTGTAGAATGGAACTCAGGGAGGTTCCCTGGCCGTGTGCGATTATATGCG